CATTACCAACCCGAAACCCAAACAAAAGGAGAAGATGGATGGAGGAAAAAAAAAATTAACCATTTTGTTTTGTATCATTCTCCAACATTTTATGTCCGACATCGGGAAAAATTACCGGGTAATCCAAAAATTTTAACTTCTTTGTCAATATTCTTTATAATTATAATTTACCAACCACCGAATGCTGTGATGGTGTGATACCATCTGATGAACATCTTGGTCTTGATGATATGTCGTGTGGTATTACCGCAGAGAGCGTCGGCCATCTTCACCTACTACGCAACGTAAAAATTATGTGTATGCAATTTTTGCAAATATCTTGCACTTTGAAGATTATTCATAATTCTTACTCGAATGAAAACTTTACGCAAGCGTAGTGCATAATTACCAAGTTATCGTGCAAAATTATGAACTGCGCAAAATACTTGTGCAAGCCTTTTATAATTGCACAAAAGTTACAAGTAAAATGAAGGCGTTGTTGTGTACAAGCTTTTTATAATATTTTTGCGATATTGATAGCATAGTGGACACTGTTGCAGATCACAAAAAAATGATCAACATAACATATGTTATGGTGAAAGTTCTTGCAAAAGTTTGATTATAAAAGTGTGAGATAATTTTGATCTTGCTGATGATCTGGACTTAGAGAGGCTACAGCTATATTCTAGTGAAGTTTCAGAAGCAACGGGCTCTGTGTAACTGCCTGCCTATTATACAAATGACTGTTGCACAAAATGAGTGTCCATTATGCTGATATTGATTGATTAAATTACTTTATTGTTAAAGCATTTAAAATTATTGATGGTTATATATAATCCTCAAGACACCTAACCTAAAGTCGTTTCAATTGAAAAGAGGCTTGCTCTCTCCTATGAAAAGTTTTACAATTTTTGGTTTTTTTGAGTGATCTAAGTTAGTAAGATAAAAGAAACCTAATGGTTTATAGTTATGCAAATATAATTAATAGCTGTATATAAAACATACAATCCTTGCCATACATTTACTTTGTTTAACCTAAAGTCGTTTTTAATTGAAGAAGGTGCTTGTTATATATAAAAAAAACTTTATCAACTAATTTTACCATTATTATTACTCAAGCGGAAGATTTATATTTATAATTTGTTTAATTACCATGTAAAGAAATATTTTCGTTTCCTTTTATCGAAAGCTCTCTTATTGTATACGATTTCTCTATTTTCATATAAAATAGAATTCTTGATCTTTTTGTGTTTTAAAAAAATCTAATATCCAACTAGATAAAGATAAAAACAAATTAGTAGTTCTATTATTTTTAATTTAAAATTTTGCGACCTATAAAACTCGGTTTCATTTCTACGAAATTGAATAATAAATCAATGCACAATTAACATTCCAATAAACTAAAACCCTCAAAATCATTGCTTAAAGCGCTTTGATAAAAACAACAAGTGGAATGAGTGTCTTGGTAAAAAGCCAAGTTTTTTGCCTTAGTGGGTAAACAAGGGTTTAGTGCTAACGTTGGTTAACTAGTGGGTGTTAGTGAAGTATTGTCCAAAGGTCACCAGTAGTGTTATTGTAATAGTAAACGCAAGGCCGTTAACAAGCTGCCTAAATGTTTGTAAATAAACCAAATCGACAGATAAACTGAAATAATTGGTCACAAGCGAATAAAAGGAACTTTATAGAAGCCTTTGAGCTTTGTAAAAAAGTCGTTTTATTCATTTAGAGTTATCCGGCACCATTAAGTGTACTTACAAACAAGGAAGAGGCAACAAGCGAGAACCAAAGTAAATTCGTAAACCAGTTAATTGTCAAGCACCGAATTATTATGAGTTGCTTGCAATTAACTGACAAGAGTAGTCCAAAAATTAAGCTGTAATCGGCAATATTACCATTTAACAAGAATCAGAAACTGTAAAAAGTTTATTATTTCAAAATATTATTATGATTTAACTTTAAGAAATAAAATAAAAAAATAAAAAGATAAATAATAAATTTATAGTGGAGATTAAATTAGTCACCCATTGATTCTTTCTCTTAATTACTAGAATCTAGTGTTTATTAATCAATCAAATAAGTATCGTTAGTAATAATTAATGGATAATAATTTCCAATTAATTAATAATGAAATTTTTATTCACCTTTGTTAAAATCATCATTTAAAAGAAAAGAGTTAAAATCAAGACTATTTAACGAACTATCATTACTTGTATAAAATTTTAAGCTTTTAGATTTAGCAATCTCTTCATCTAATATTCTACTTTTATGATATGCATCTGGATGTGGTTTGTGTACTTGTTGCGAAACACTACTACCACCACTAGTATTATTACTATTATCACTACTACTATTACTAGTATTATTATTTTTAAAAACTTCATTACGTTTGTTTTCAGCAAAATCATAAAGCTCTCCACTAGTTGGTCTTTTTGTTGGATCCACGTCCCAACACCTCTGCGTCATCTGTGCATAATCATCAGGCATTTCAGGTAATATTGGTGGTCGTAAACCTTCTTCACATATATCAAAAATTAAACAATGATTATGAGCTCTATTGTCAAATGGTGGGTGACCCGCAAATATTTCCCACATTAACATCCCAACACTATAAATATCAGATTCTTTTGTGTTCTTTTCGCCTCTAAGTAGCTCGGGTGCAACATATGATATAATTCCATAGACTTTATTTGATGACTTTTCATCAACTGGTCCACATAATCCTAAATCTGTAATATAACAACCACCTGCTTGCACAAGTATATTACCACTATGTAAATCACAATGGATTAAATCTTTTTCATGCATATTATCTAATGCATAACATAAATAATGAAAGATTGTAATTCTATCTTTTAATGTTAAATTTAAATGATTTTTTTGCAGATGATCTCTTAAATTTCCTTTTAGATAATTTAAAACTATTGCATAATTTCCATTATTTGGGAATTTGGTTATACCAGAGCAAGGAACAATCAGTGGTGCTTTAATTTTACAATAATTTATTGCCTATTGAATATAAAATCAATTAGTGTTATATAATACAGCATTGTTTATTTTAAATGACAACTACCAACCTCATTAAAAAAGCTTTTTCCTGGATTACTTGAATCATTTAAACTTTTTAATACTACTAGTTGATCTTCTAAATAACTAAATTCCTTTTTATTTTCGTCATAATCGTTTATTTGTCCTCTTGTCCATGTAGCAGAATAAATTGAACTAAATCCACCTTCTGCCAACTTTGTTATATCATAAAATTGCTCAAAAGGTATCCATTCTAAAATATAGTTTGGCAGAGATGATTTCATTTGACACTGTTGAATAAAATCATCAATTATGTTATTTCCAGAAGTCCAAGTGGTGAAAAGACTCTGTAATTGTAAACTAATACAACCTTCACAGAATCTATCAGAATATCTTATCAATTTACAGCTGTTGCATTCTTTTGGTTTGCCCCATTTATATGTTGCATTGTTTAATTCAAACTCATAAATAAACTCTTCTTTACAATATTCTTTTTCATTTTCAGAAAGCTCCTTGTTTTTTTGGACCAATGAAAAAAAATAATCTTTTCTACTTTCTTCATCAGAATTAGCCAAAGCATTATTATGCAATTCATTTTTGGTTTTATATACAAATTCCCTTCTTTCTTGTGATAACGATGATAACAGCTCAAGATGTGACATTATAAAAAAATTTGACTTGGTGCTTTAATGAATAAAATGGAAAAAAATTTTTTAGAGAATAATTTTGCGGAGAACGACGTGTAACAAACAATTTCCTCGTAATATTATTCGTAATTCACATTTTAAACTTTTGTTATAATGACTTTTTTTGACAATCAAGTTTATTTAAGTTTTTCTTTGACAGATTAATTGAAAATTGCATTATTTAAAGAACAACTTTATCATCACCAAACTCTAGTTATTGATTTATTGTGATTCAACAATAAAAGAATTTTAAAATCTTCAAAATGAAAACTTACAAAATCTGTACCAAAATCTGTACTATGTAAAGGTCGTTCTACATACCAATATTGATCAGCCCATGTTGTTTCAAACTCAGGCACTCGAGCGCATTTTTATTTCATTAATAGTATTATTGTGTATTGTTATTACATTAACCTCAAAGTCAAAATTCGAAAAAAAATCAAGTTAGCACAACTCGTATGTATGTAAAAGTTGCTCTACATACCAATATTGACCTACTTGTGTGTGTTTCGAACTTGGGCACTAAAGATAATTCAAACGCGTTTCGATTTTTTTCATTTTATGAAATGTAGTAATAGTCCTAATTTGTAAAAAAGAAGAGGCTTTTTTAGAAATTACATTTGTAAAACTTCACATGACAATTATTCTTCCTACACCATTGTAATATACATACATACAACGATGTCACAATCCAAAAAAGGAAACAAAATGGTCGTAATAGTATCAGTATGATGTATTAGTATCTGGTGATGCTAGTGCTACCCGACGTCTTGGATCTGCATGTGAACGTGCCAAACGACATTATCCTCATTGACACAGACCACCATTGAAGTTGACTCTTTGTTTGATGGAGTTGATTTTCAAGCAACTCTTACAAGAGTGAAATTCGAGAATTAATTTATCCATTATTCATGAAACCATAGAACCTGTACGTAAGGTATTAAAAGGAGATTGTTTTGGTCGGTGGATCAACCACTTTTTCGAGAATTTTTGATGGAAAAAAATTAAATAAATCAATTAATCCTAATGAAGCAATGGCATATGGTGCAGCAGTACAGACAGCTCTTCTCACAAATCAAGCCAACAGTGATAAAACACGAGATTTGTTGTTATTAGACATGATACCTCTTAGCTTAGGAGTTGAGACACAAGGTGGTATCATAACCATAGTTATACCTTCTAATACAACACACCAATCCCTACAATCAAAAAAAACCATTTACAACGGCTGAGGACAGACAAACGATTGTGGAATTTCCAGTGAAAGACCCATGTGTCGTGATAATCTTCTTGGATCATTTGAATTCACTAATGCCTCATGATGAGGCAAAGTTAGAGTGTACTTTTGATATTAATGCTGACGGTATTCTAAAGGTGACAACTAAAGATAAAGCAACTGGTCATAAAGCAAATATTACTATTTCAAATTCTGCGGGTAGATTATCAACAACTGGAATCAAACATATGATTGCTGAATCTAAGAAACTCAAAGAAGAAGATAAACAAAGTCAAGTACGTGTTGAAGCTAAACAAGAACTTGATAATTATGTTTACCAGGTAACCAATTAGCTAGGATGCATTGATGAACAAACGAACAAATATTAATTCATTATTAATAATTGATATTTAGATTGAAAATACGCTTAATAAACCAACAATGGTTTATTTTATTTCCTTTTTTTAAAAAAAATTTTTTATTCTTATAACGGATGTTATAATGTCTTTTGCACTCCACCTCATCTTCCTGGTGGTCAACTTACGCCAATTGGAACGGCCTGGTATCTTTTCAAGACGGGGGGGGCATTAAAACTGATTTATTTTACAGAGGATGAGCAATTTTTTTATCTTGTATCGTAAAATCTTAATCTTAAGAATTTAAAAATTTAAATCTTTAATTATTATAAATATTATAAATAAAGTCAATGTAACTAATTACATGTATATTTTCGCTACGAGAATACTTGG